CCATTGCATTTGGTTGAGTCCATTCACGAATGTTTTTTTAACCAAGAAACTTGTTTTCTTCTTACACCTCTACGGCCCTCTATTTTGCCTTTAAGGATCAGTTGTAATATTTTATATCTTACTATATGTCCCAGATAAGACATTTTTCGATGTTTAAAAGTCTTTAGCAGTTCTCTATCTTTGTTGACGCTCCTTAGTACCTCTTCATTAGTTTTCCTTACTGTCCAACCAAGGTATCTTCAGGATTCGTCTATGAACCCACATTTTCAATGCTTCAATTTTGTTCATGATTGATACTTATAGCGTCCACACATACAAAAGTACGGACCAAACATAGCACTTAACCACTTAACCATTTGCCTTAGTTCTAAACTGAGATGGCTATTGCAAAGAAATGACTTCATTTTCATAAAAGTAGTTTTAGTCATTGCTATTCTATGTTTTATTTCTATGTCTGGATCTTGGACTCCGTTTAACTGAAGCTTTGCATCGGGATGTGGGCCACGACTAAACATTAAAAATTTGGTTTTGTTTGAGTTTGTTTTACGCCCATTTTCTCTCCTACCTCATGAATACGATCAAGCAGAATTTGAAGACCTTCAATATTATCTGATAGAATTACTGTGTCGTCTGCATATCTAATCACATTAAGTAGTTCTCCGTTGATTTTTATTCCATATGGTTGTCTCTCAAGTGCCTTTTAAATAACTGGTCTGAGTAAACATTGAACAATGTTGGTGACAAAATGTAACCTTGTCTGACTCCTCGTTGTATAGAGATTTCATCGGTGTAGTTATCTCCAATTCTTATGATAGCAGTTTGATTCCAGTACAAAGTTTTAATGACACGAATATCCTTATCATCCATTCCGATATTTTTCAGTATTTGCATTAATTTTACATGTTGTACTTTATCGAATGCCTTTTTGAAGTCCACGAAACATGCAAATACATCTTTTCTTTGGTCACGGCATTTTTGTAATAGGATGTTAAGCGCAAAAGTTCCTTCCCTGGTTCCCATAGCATTTCTAAAACCAAATTGGGTATCTTCAAAATCTTCTTCGCATTTGCGTCTAATTCTGTTGTGAAGTATTCTGGGGAAAATTTTTAAGTGTGTGGCTCATTAGGCTAATTAATCAATATTCTGAACATTTTCTCGCATTGGGTTTTTTAGGTATTGCGACAAAGATGGATTTGAGCCAATCTGCGGGAATCACTCGGGTGTTATATATTGAATTAAACAGTCTTGCTACTACTTTTATGTTATCATTCTCTATTAGTTTCAGTAACTCAGTTGGTGTATCATATGGATCACAAGCTTTTCTAATTTCAGCATTATTTATAGCATGTTCTCCCTCGCATTTCATAATTTCTGGGCCGTCAGTACAATTTTGGTAGAATTCGGCAATATTATTCCTGTCATCTTCAAACAACTCGAATATATACAGCTGCCATTCTTTGCTTATTTCGTGCTCATTAACAATAATTTTGTTATTATTGTCAACGAGTACAGAAGGAACTCGTTTTTTAAGTATGTTACTCATTTCTTTTAGTTTTTTATGCACATGAAATAAGTCGTGTTTAGATATTACATCTTCCATTTCGTCGCATCTTCTCCCATCCATTTTTCTTTGGGTAATTTGATCTCCTTTTTTATTATTCTCTGCAGGTGTCTATATTCTGTTACATTAGATTTTATCAGTCAACGTTGTTTCATTCATTTCAAGATGTCGTCTGTCATCCATTTATTTTTCTTGGTTAAGTTCTTTCTATAATCATTGTTTGTCATGGTTGTGGAGATTTCGTTAACTTGGTTTTTAAATTCACTCCATAGTTCTTCTGGATCTTCTAGTTGTACTCCAATGTTTTTTATTCCATTGTTAAATTCTTATTTAATGTTATGTTTATATCCTCAAAGTTAATTTCATTGGTTTTTGGTTTTAACCTTAGTTTAATTATTATTAATTAGGTTTCTACTTGTTAAGCTAAATGCGTCCGTCCATTCTCATGAAAGATAATAATACTTATCCAGCAAGAACATTAGTATAACATTTAGATTTAACTCTATCATTAATACCAATATCCTAGCATTACAGCTCCAAGAGGGTTTCGAATTTCCACAACTTGTTTGTATTTGTGTCATGATGTTTTATCTGGTACTCTTCTTTCTCTTATAGTTTGAAAAACTGATCAATTTTGTCACCTACGTTACGCTGTGTAACGATCTAAGCATTAACCTGCGACTTATTCTTATTCTGTTTCTGGCAGACTGTGAAGTGATTTTGTTTGTCACATCTGTTTCTTGAACTCAAGCTATATGCTTTTGTCCATATTAACTGATTTAACATTATTCATATTATACATTAATATTACATTTGCATTAGAATCTCGTAATTTTTAGAGATATTTATGTATTTTGACGTTTGAGAAAATTTGTTATTATATTTAATTAGCTTGCTGCCATGTTTATGTTCCTATTATTATTTAAATGTTCAATAAAATGGAACGATAAATAAATTAACCCTTTCTTTTCTATCCCATGTTTGGTTTATGATTGTTTCTCTTATATATATTTTATTATACTATTCATATTATATTATACTGCCAAACAATTGAATTTAATAGGAAAAATTGATTTCTTTGCATTTACCTATTGTATAAACCTTTTCTCTTTGTGTATAATTTATTTGCTAAATATATAAAGCATTGTAGTTTCAGCTAAGTTGTTGTGTTCTTTATGTATAATTTACTTGGTAAAGTCTTTTTCCTTGTCTAAGGCTAAAGTTGTTGTGTAAATCATTTACCTTTGTAATGCTGCCGAAAAAAATGTTTCTTCCACTTTCGGACATTTTTGAAATTTATAGGTTGATCTATCTTAGCGGTGTTCAATACTTACTTACTGTTTTATGATCGGCAAATTCCTAGAAGAGACAGGTAAAATATTTTATTGGTATTTTATCTTTCAGAAGCCCTTCAATTCTTGACCGTTTTATTGAATTGTGCTTTTGTAACTTTTAGTTAAATCAGTGGTAGCTGTATACAAGGTAAATTTTGATAACTTTCAAACCTCTAAAACCTTGATTTTAATTTCAATTTACAATTTTTAGTATAGCTTGTCTCAAAATATATCGTCTTGGTTTTCATCTCGTTAAAGGATTAGTGTTATTATTGCCATTGTCATCAATGGAATAACCAAAGTTATTGGTTCTTAGTAAGAAAACATCAGAGGCGTACTCCACGAAAAAATAATATAGCGATTTTATTTCAAGTATACCCCATTTGCTTTGCGAAGTTATCACATACATATTGCTTTTTAATATTAAATGTATTTAACACTTCTGGTAGTTGTTCTTTGTTATAATTAGTTGTTTAAAAAATACTCATGAATTTCAGTTTAAGTAGGTACTTAATCTGTTTGGCGCTTTTTGTAGCTGATGACTGTGATAGCTTGCGTTATCCATGATGATTACACTATTATTAAAAAAAAAAAAATTTCGAAACCCATTTTCAAAAAGTTCTGCACTGGTGTCTGTGTGATAGTCTAAGCTAGAGTCTTTGATATTCTTCGCAGATAAGAGTAAACAGTTGGGAACCCAGCTGTCTTTCGAAACGGCTGAATTATTTTTATGTACTTTCCTTTATTTGTAGGTGCTTTCGTCTGGCACTTTTTACTAGAATCGACCCATCCTTTGCATACTGTATTTGTTTTCTAAGCTATACTTGGATACTAATTTTAGAGAGATACTATTACTATACATTACTACTGCTTTTTGTCTGTCTTAGAATACTTAAAACCCATTTTAGAAATCGCAGAGTCGCAGAATGAATTGCCTGAATGAATCAATGTGGAGAAATAAATATATTGGGAAAGAAATGAAAGGCAGAATTTACAATGACATACGCAGCAGAAACACGACCATACACAGGAAGGGCAAAAATAATGCATGAAACAGCAGATATGAAAACCCTTAAAAATCGATAGGAAGACACTATGAGACAGAGCTAGAAGTACAGATCTACGACGTAGATGCAAGGTGGAAAACATCAAGGACTGGGTAAGAAATAAAAGAGTAGAATGGAATGATCATATAAGCCGAATGGCAACAAATAGAGTAGCAATGACGGCAAGATACCATTCCCCAATAGGAAGACCACAAAAACGATAAAACAACTTACTGGAGGCACATTGAAAAGAAAAACAGAATCATGTCTACAGGAAAAAAAAAAGAATAAGAATACTATTTTTTACTTTTAAGATCCATGTGTTTCCGCCATAAAGCAGCAGGAATAAGTGGTAACTTTGGACAAAACTTATTTTAATTGAAAATTTCTGTGGAATGACTCTGACTCTTGATAATTATTTTTTAACTATTCCGGTTTGTTACATAAGGACCTTCAACATATTCTAAAATTCTATTATACTCATTTGATAATTTTTAGATCCAACTTAGAAACTGGTCCATTGTAAAAAATTTTAATACGTATTCCTTATCTATTTGAAACCAATAATGTTTTAAAATTTTCCTTTAATATTTACCACAGTTCAAGGTCATGTTATGAAATTTTGGAGACCACTAAAGTAAAGATAGTGTTCGATATACATAACAAATACCTTATTATCAGTTTATTAATCTAATTCATACGAAAATAATTCCTAAACCAATAAAAATATCGTACTGCACTTTGATTTCTTTCAAAATAATTCATTAATTCGTAATTTATTCTTGCTTATATAGATACCTAGATTTTACATCAAAAATAAACACTTAAATAATTTTTATGTAACGTGTTACTAAATACTATATAAAGAAAAACAGTACAAACTAAACATAATATGATAATAATACATTTATCTAGCTGCTTCACTAGTTAAGGTTCATTGCTGATTTGAGAAAATTAGAAAATATATATAAAAAAATGAAAAGAGATTTTTGAAGAAAACAGACACGAGAAAAAATTACAGGAAATAAAACAGAAAAATGTCAACTAAATTTTGCAACAATGGATCACAACGAAAAGAAAGAGTTAGACCTAGAAAGACATGTAATGAAAAAATACTTAAGTATTCTCGATGTTGTTATGGAAGGTAATTTGGACGAAAATATGAAGAGGGAAAACTTGTTTGGTTATGAGTATGAATGTTATAAATAAAATGTCCCTCTTAGATTAAATTAGTCTATTAATTTCTTTTAAACAATTTGTATAATCTCCTTAATGTATTAAACCCATTCAAAACAATTAAACTTTTAACGTTAAATTAAGATCATTATGAGGAGGACTGGCTACATTGATATTTGTCGCAATCCCAAGACACCAAATCAATATATTATATTAAATAGGTACATCACCAAAGACAAGACCAAGATCATTCATAGAAGAGTATAATATAATAAAGTATAAAATTTGATAGATCGCAATGTGATTTTCGGAGAGCACTTGAAGCTGTGGAAGCAGTTTTCACTTTCCAGATGCTTATACTTACAGCGGTGTAGAGTAGGTAATAAGAATATGTATTTGTGCTTTGTAGATTTTAAATACTGTGTATAAATAGTGTTCGAATCGTAGCAAACCTATGCTGAAAACAGCTAGATTAAAAATAGGTAATAAATTTACTGGAAGTGTGGAGATCAAAAGAGATGTCCGACATGGGTATGTCGAACTATTCATATACTGGAGAAGAAGAGTCATATGAATATCAATTAGACCCGCTTATTTGCTTTCTTTATTACAAAGATTACTTCGGGCCAGTTCCTGACCCATAACGCTATATATTATATTTTCACTATAATTTCAGAATAATTCTTTAGTTAGATGAATTCATGAAGTGATTATTTAATATTTGTTAGTTTCACCAAGGTAATAATACTAAAAGATGATGTAGACTGAAAAACTAAACCAAACGCCTTGAGAACACTGTTTATATGCAAAATTATGCACTATAAATGAATTATAGAATTTATAGTAAAACAATAAATACTGTTTATTGGAATGTTGTTATCCGTTTCATTGAGAGTGGAAAGTACTAAAAAATTAAAACGTTGCATCATTTTTACGCAGTGAAAAGCTGCAGATATTTCAGAAGGTACTTTTTAGATGCCCAATCTTGTATCTTATGCATTCTTTCAAGTTGTTGCAACTCAATGCAGTGACGTGTGTGTCACAGAACTTGACGAACAATTGTCTCTGTACTGGTTGTTCAAATCTGGTCAAATATCCTTAATTATTTTTATCAAATAGCAAATATATTTCTTGCATAATAGACATCGTCGTGTTTACTACGTATCTAGCTATTCGATAACTTTTTATGTCTATTCATACATTTGTTAATTATTCCCTTTTTTGCAGATATCTTCAAAATGCCTGTTGCAACTACAGAAGCTTCCGAAAAATCCAAATCTGGATATCAAAAAATATTCCCAGAAGAACCGGAAGACACAAAAAAGTGCAAATATAACGGAGTTGATAAAAGTGAAACTGTGATAGATAACAATGAAACAGACCCCCTAAATAATGAAGTCTCTAGTCAGCCGGATATAGTCATACCTCCGGATGGCGGCTGGGGTTGGTTGGTAGTTCTAGCATCTTTTATGTGTAATTTAATAGTTGACGGGACCATTTTCTCTTTTGCAACATTCCTTCCAAAAATTGTTGACGAATTCAATGCTGACGCTGCAAATGTGACACTGGTAAGTAAGATCCAATTTTGGTATTTTTATTAATTTTTTGAAGCCGATTTATTAATTTTTTGCATATTAATACAAATAATATTGCATATCAGCCTACTTTACTCAGTATTGAGTATAAAGCATTAATGTGAGTCCAAACTTATACATTTTAACCCGAACGAACTGAGCGTACAAGAACAAGCAGAATGAATAGTAGATAGTAGAAGCGAGGTTCCTACAGCCTCTGCCGCTTCTCGCATTTCGACCGCCATCGTTCTCTGTCCATCCATTCGTCTTCTTTGTGGGCTCTATCTCTCATTAGGTGTCGTACATTTTCTTCCCAGGCAATTGATGGTCTTCCCCTTCTTCTTCTTCTTTGTTGTGGTATGTAATTTAAAGCTTTCTTTGGTCATATATCTTCATTCATTCGCTTCACATGACCATACCACACTAGTTGTCTCGTTTCAATTCTGTCTACACTGGAATATACAGTATTTGTCCTCCTTCTAATATCTTCATTCCTGATATGATATTTTTTCATTACCTAATTTTTTCATTACCTTCGTGATAATGAAAAGATTGAATTCCTATATTCATGCTCGGCGCGTATTAAGCAGTATTGCTGCGCTGCTCTAATATGCTTATTTTACATAATTCTTTATGGTTTTAGGTCGGATCTTTGATGTCTGGATTTTATCTAATAGCTGGGCCGTTTGTAAGTGCTATTGCGAATAGATATGGATTCCGAAGTGTAGTGATATTTGGCAGTCTTAGTAGTGCTGCTGCATTTGCTCTCTGCTACTTTGCTACCAGTGTTACTTATCTTTGTGTGTTCTACGGATTAATAGGAGGTAAGCTTCTTTATTCTGATTCTTACTAAAATATAAATAAGTTCAGTTAATGTTTAGGGCAGCTTATATGAAGAGTAAAAATAAAAGAAAAGTAATAAACGAATTAACCGTACCTAGTTAAAATAAATCTATAACAACATAATACACAATCAATATTTAATTTAAATGTAATTTGTAACTAGATGGAAATATGTTTGAAAGGTGCTACCTTGTTTACGTTAAACTTTGCTGAGAAATAGATCCAGTTTGTTCAGGAGTTAGCTTGTTCAAGGTAATGTAGGATATATGTATACTAGAATATGTTATTTATAATACACAAAGTGGAAATCGAGTATGTATCTTATCAGACGCATAGTATTTATTTAAAAAGTAGTAACAAGTTTGATAAATGCAAAATGAGGAATACATCGAAAGAAATACTTTTATAATTTCATTATTTGTCACAATCAAACAAACAAAGTAAAATAGAAAATCAATGAACTGATCAAATCGCAAAAGAGGGAGGAGTCAGAAGGATGTCTTTTATCCCCTGCTATTAAACATTTATTTTAAATGTGTCTCTAGGGAAGCTCTAGAAGAGTACAATAAAGAAATATTAATAAACAAACGTGAGCCATATAGAGGCGCTGGACCTAAAAAAAAAAAAACAAATTTGTGACAATTAGTAAACATCTAATCCTAAAAGTCCAACTTTTAATTAAACAACACAAGATCGAAAGAGTCAGCGTTATATAATAGCCGATAAGATCATTCAACAGAAATTAATCCATGAATTATAAATTAAAGATCTGCATTTTGTTATGATGATACCCATTTTTAGGAACCGAGGTATATTAAAAACAAAATGCTGTCTACTAATATGCTACATATTCACTGTTCTACTCTAACGGAATGGAGGCATGGATGGTAACTTTGGTAACTACAAATCGACTCGAGGCTTTCGAGATGTTGTGTTTTAGACACATCCTACGTATATTCTGGGTTGACCATGTAACCAATTGCAGAAGTTCTGCGCAGAATGTGAAATTCCATTAAAACTTATATGTTACAATATCAGTGACACATAATGAGAAATTAAAAACGTAATGGAATTCTCCAATTAATTCTCGAAATAAAGGTAAAGGGCAAAAGAGTGCCAGAAAGAAGACTTCTTTTCTGACGACTACCATTGAGATGCTTCGCGCTGAAACCAACAAAGTAAATATTGCTATGATAGTCGCTAACAGCTGGAAAGGATAGAAAAAATAAGAAGAGGGTCATTAATAAACTGAAACCAAACCACATCCATTATGCTGTTATTTACGAAAAAAATTTTAACATTAATTTATAATGCAGATAATATTGACTTGGACTTGATGATTGTTAACAAACATTCGAATTCTCATGCGTAGGTATTATCTCATATTCTCTAGGTGGTGGTATCAGGTACCGTTTGTCCTTATCTGGTAGTTTTCGTTAGATTCAACAACAATCACTATGCATTTCGTGTTAATGAATTTTTTGTATCATGTTCCAGACTGTCTACTTTAATTACAATATAACAACAGATTGTATATATATATATATATATATATATATATATTATATATATATATATAACGTGGTAATAATGTAGCGTACTATCTTTTTACAAACGATTAGTAAATACATATTCATATATGCCAAATATTTATTTAATGATAACATGTTATCTATTGCCAGTTTTATTTCATGAATTTTATTTCTGAAAAGTATATTACCAGAATTGAGATTTCAGCTTCCCAACCGAAATTGCTTGTTGTCTACATTAGATTATTAGATATCAATACCTTTCTTTCAGTTTTTTAACTTTTTTTAAATCGTTTCATAATAATTAGTTACGTATTAATATGTTTTAACCTTAGATTTTTTCTGAAGGGGTAATGAAAATGCCAACCTTTTTTAGCAATATATTGGTCAATTGTAATTGTTTAAAGCATGGCTTTTCCGACTGTCAATTCGTATGGTATACTCTGGTCACTAAACTCGGTCCCAACTGTCTAGTTCATTTAGTAATTAATTTTTTGCGACGTTGGTCAAATTTTCACTTCTACTGGAAGTGGCTGGAAGTTACTATACAACCAAGCACACGTGCTCATAACCAATATTAATTTTAACTGAAGGGTAACCAGTATTCTCCTGCAGTTAATTAACAAAATAAAACTGCATCAATGAAAACAAAGGTTTGGATGTATATTTTGAAAAATTTTTAGCCACATATAGATTAGTATTGACAAATAGAAAATTTTTAAATTCAATTATTCTTATTTTTTCTATTAATAAAGTCTGCAATAGTAAGTTACAGTTTAGTAAAACACTGTGTGATTTGCCAACAATTTGAGGATAATTATTTTTTATTGTAAATTTTTATTATAGGTTTCAGTGGTCCTTACCATTCTTCTCAGATATCTTCATTATGTTTATTCTTATCGCACCTCGACATCGTCTTTATTATGTCCTGTTCGTTGTGGACTGAAACGTGGAGATATGATTTACTTCTTCTTTGTTTTATTTGTACAATGCTGGACCATCGAAGATAAATATTTTATTGTCTCAGTGTGTTTTAGATTATATAGGTATGTAACTCATTTCAATTATATTCACATTCTTTCTCAAAACGTAGTATGAATAAGATTTAGTTTGAATGGTACTTCTACCCATTTTTCCATCTTTATGGATATGTATGTTGATTTTAGTTATGGTTTAATATAATAGATTAAAATAACTGTAAACAAATGGACTGAATATGCGAATATGGTCAAATAATTATCCTCCAGCTCAAAGACCCATTTTTAACTTTTAATTTTCATTTCTGGAAAAAATATAGAAATAACAACATTCGCAAACATATATAAGAGGTTCCTCATGATATACAAACGTCTGTTAGTTACGAGTTCGGGAAATGTTATATAAAAATAAATAATGTATTAGTCAAAATAGTCCTCGATCTAATATTAGACAATTAAACATTTTCTGTGAAGTTGTAGGTTGGTCATAATAAAGTATTTTGAAAATTTTCTAATCGCGTGTTTTTACTAGCTTCTGATTCTCTTGAGTAATATTCTTGGCAATCCGTGCCAGAACTGTTTGTTTATACTGTAGAGTTTGGCCCCCGCATTGCTCACCAATTAATAGGAAAATCTAAAATTTTAATTTAATTACGACACATTTAAGGATAATTGGATAATTATGAATACTTCTTTTATTTTCTTTACAAGCTTCTGAATATGCCTTTTATTTTAAGGAGCACTCCTTTCCTTGCATCGCTCATTAGTAGGTATTTGTCTTTCCTATTATTATTTAATATACATTTTGGGGCAGTTTACTTGCTTGTGTAGGAATCACCGATGTAAGGAGAATATGATTTACTACTTCTTCTCTGCCAGGGAAGTTTTTAAAAAGTCCCTTGAGGCCAACACGAATTCAGTTTATAAAACCAACGATCTGGTTGAGCATCTGGAGATTTTAAGTTTTGGAAAAACGTTATTCATTCAAACGACGTTATGACTGCAAAATACGATTTAGAATATAAAAGTGGAGTGTGACTTAATACAAAACGCAATCTGCCAAATCACAAGAAGTATTTCTATTATGCTGATGGTAGAAAACACAGGAAGGACTAGGAATACGGATTACCTAAAGCCAGAATATTAATAGCTTTACAAGTAGCCGTACAATATATCAAGCAAAAATGCTAGCAATAGGTTTTTGTGCTGAAGAATGCCTAAAAATACGCTCCAATTTGTCCAAAATATCCATGTCATTTTGGACATGTTTCTTAATAACGGGCTAACACAGCAAAGTAACGTTTTTATGAGGACCACGACATTAAGGAATTATTGGTAACGGACTCGCTGACACAGTCTTGTTAAAGGAGGAGTTTCAATAGTCACAAAACCATTCGGCGTTATACCAAAAAACCGCTCCGTGGAAGAAAACCGAAAATGGTAAAAAGAACGCTTACAGCTTCACAAAACTCTTAATGTTCTCACTAGACACTGGTCATATATCGATTTTACGAAACTGGCAAAGAAACGGTCGAACAAATTGTCTGTATCTGTAGGTCAATTGTTTACCATAAATATCTGAAACATGTATTAAACTTATTTAATTTACTAGATTGTTTTTTATGTATATACAGTGCAGAAACTTTATATTTTTAAATATATAATATCATAGTTGATATGTATATTTTTTTAATCACGGTTATTTTTAGGTATTGGTTTTGGTTTCATCTATGCTCCATCTATAATTATCCTGGGATTTTATTTCGAAAGATGGAGAGGACTAGCGACAGGAATTGCTGTATGTGGATCTGGAATAGGAACATTCGTCTATGCTCCAATGACAGAAGTTTTGATCACTAACTTTGGATGGAGAGGAGCAATGTTGTGCCATGCTGCTTTGATTTTGTTATGTGCCGTATGTGGGATTTTATACAGGTGAACAAATTTAATAAACCATATGTATGTAATTTTTGAGCTGTAAATCTAGGCGTATTTAATTCTTTATAGTCCTACTGGAATCACAGTTTTATTTTCGCTATTTTTTTCTTCAATTCCTTAAATTGCATTACACGTATCATATACATGTCTATATTCTTTCCTTTTTAACTTGGTAGTTTGTCCAGTAAAGAACTTACATCTAGTTTACTGTAATTAACATTGTAGCAATTGCACTTATGAAATATTTGTATTTTACAGGCCCCTTAAAGCTATGAAGATAGATTCTGCCACTGAACCTCTTAACAAACCGGAACCAGAGTTCAAAGTACCCGTTGTAGCTCAACAGAAGATGGAAGCAGCAATGAGGATGATGAAACGAGGCTCAGACGCAGGATCTGTAATCGATCATCAATCATCAATTCCAAGGCTATTAGGTGTCAACAACAACTCCGTTTATCCAAGAGTGTCAGATGTCTACCACACCATCTGTGTTCCAAATGGTACCGTCACGTCCAAGCAAACACCTCATTTGGCGTGGACTAGAGAGAGAAGTAAGACTGAAGGGAAACTGCAAATATCACATTTGCACAAGCTGAAACGAATGAGATCTGTAGACAAACCATGCGAAGTTACTCGGCCGCTCTACAGAGAAGACATTTTCTTTAATCAAAGCCTAAAACGTCTACCTCAATACACTTCACAAACTTCCGTAGAATACAATTTATCGGTTACCAGAGCACCTACTAAAAACGATATCGAAGAAGAAAGAACCCATAAGTGCATGCTCTGTCCAGAAGCTTTCCGAAGAGTTCTAGCTACGATGTTGGATTTGAGTCTGTTCCAGTCACCCACATTTATTGTCTTAGCGGTAGGAGGTTTCTTTACAATGATGGGATTCTTCGTACCTTATATGTTCTTGGCCGAGAGAGCCAAAAGTGCCAATATCGAAAATGCAATATGGCTAGTTTCTTCCATTGGTATAGCCAACACTGTCGGCAGAATGTTTTATGGACTTATAACCTCACTTCCTAAGGCAGATGCTCTGATAATTACAAATATTGCATTAACTGTAGGCGGACTGGCTACAATATTCAGTGGATTATCTTTGTCAAGAGAATTCCAATTCACTTATTGCATCATATTTGGACTTGCAACATGTAAGTATATTGAATGGATTAATCATAATTATGAAACTTTTATCATTATTTTTAACATGCAGTGGTAACTACTACAGACTTGACATGTAAATTACAAACTAATTATGCACGAAATAATGATAATTTCTAATATGTTTTAGTGTATTATTAACATTAATTTTCACCTAACCCTGAATAATTGCGATTAATTTTTCTCAAGATAACCACTGCATCACAAAGATTGCAATATGTTTCTGTTATTTTGATCTGCATAGTTTTCTTCTTCTTCTTTAGCTTTTCCCTTTTCAGGAGTTGCTGTTCCTTAGTCTTCGTCGCCACTCATTTCTGTCGATCGTGTCTTCTTCACCTAAACCTTTCTCCCTCGAGTCCCCTGATACTCAGTCTTTCCATCTTCTCCTTGGTTTTTCCCTACCTCTTCTTCTATCAACTTATAACTGCTCTATCCTTTATCCCACATAGTTTTCATCTCTACTTTTCACATAACCAGACCATTGCAGTCTTTGTTTTTGAATATTTTTTGAGGCTGTAGGCACCCCAGCTTTGTCTTTAATCAAGTCGTTCCTGATCCTGTTCCTTCTAGTCTTACCCAAATACACCGGAACATTTTCATTTCAGCTACCTCCATGTTCTTTTCCTGAATCTTCTTTAGAGGTCACACTTTACTGGCGTACACCAACGCAGGTTTTACCATACTCTTGTATGTCATTTCTTTCAACCTTCCCTGTTTTTTTTTTTCGATCAAAAAGTACCCCGCTCGTGCACTTTTAGTTAAACAAGTCAGCCTGTATCCTTTGAGCAATTTCTCGATCTAGTATCCCATTTCCGTTATGTAGGATCCAAGGTATTTATATTCTCCTACTTTTCCTAGTTTTTCTCCAAACAATTCTATGTCCAAAACATTCCTCTTCCTTTCAACCACATATACTCCGTTTTCTGCTAATCTTTAGTTCTCCCTCCTCAATAGCCCTTCATCAACACTGTGACTTCTCCTCTAACATTTCTTTGCGCTTCTCTACTAACACGATTTCTTCAGCAAAGAGCATTGACATAGAGCTCCCTTCCTTACTTTTTCTGTCAGTTCATCCATAATAAGATTAAACAGGTAAGGACTCAGTGAAAAGCCTTGATGCAAACTACTCCTTCGTTCCAAACAAAGCATTCGTTGTAATTCTTCCTGGCATAAACCCAAACTGTTTTTTTCCTATCGATGTCTCTCTCCTTAACCCTTGCTCTACAGTTATCTCCAAAATTTTCATTGTGTGCGACATTAACTTTATCCCTTTATAGTCCTCAATGTCCCCTTTATACAATGATACCATCACACTATATCTCCTTGCATCGGGCATCCATTCTTACTCATATATCCTACTCGCCATTTGCCACAAAATATCAACCCTTTCCTCTGCTGGAGCCTTCCAAATTTCCACAGGTATTTATTGCCTTACCATTCTTTATTCTATTTAACGCCCCTTATCTCTAATGGTGTTCTTCATTTAGCAACTTTTTTAAGCACTCATACCATTTCTGCTTTATTTTTCCAACTCTTCATCCAGCTATGCAGACGATCTTTCCTTAGCAGTTGGTAGAGCGCTCTTTGCTTCCCTCTTTGCTACCTTGTATATATCCTTATCTTCCTCTCTTTGAGACCTGTCACACATTTTTCTAGCCTCTTTCTTCTCTCTAACTTTCCATTGCACTTCATCATTCCACCATCAAGTTTCTTTGTCTTTAGGAGGCCCTTTACCAGATTTTTTGCTAACACTTCCTCTCTACGTATTTTTTTTACATTGTGTATATTGTAAAAAAAAATAGTAGACTTTTTAATCCTTTGAAACAATCTAAATGTTGTATCTTGTTTACTTTTACACACCAACCGTGTGAGTTATTTATTTTTCTTTCTCAATTCTGTCAAGTATTTCCATATTAGTTATTTTATCAGCCAATGAAATTTCATGTTGCTTCAGTATATCGATAATGATTATGCTAATTTCATTAACGTTCTTATCTACAGACTGGTAAATTTTACTTTGTCTTTCAAGACTGAATACGCGTTTGCCACGAGGGCCGGCATTTATTCTAATATACAGTACGTTGCAGAATTTTAGTTATGGAATTTAAATCACTATAATCTTACTATACTACGTTCCACGTTTAGAAAATAACATTGCGGAGATAGGGCCATGTATTTCTTATGGACGATAGCAACGCGGCGTTGCCACGACACACACAAGCACAATTTAGGGTTGTATAATTTGTATTTTTGTTTCCACAAACATGAATTAAATTAATGTTTTTTAACGTAATTGACCAAAAGTGCCCATTCGAAACAAGAGATGAAAAGTAGGGAAAATGATTTTAATTAGATAAATAGTATTTACAAAAGATAATTTTATTTTATCTTATTTTAATTATAGTAACGACCGTTTATTTGTTTTTCGGTGAGAATACGATATGCCATGAATCATAGAAATCAGTAGAAAATATTGACGGCTTGGAATGCGTATATCTAATTACTAATTGCAACTTAAAATAATACGATGTGCGTATGTCAGCTATTTTATGTCGTTCTCTGACTGCATAATGATAATAAGGCTTTTATTTAGTAGTTATTCTGACTTTACAGTTAAATGTTAATTGAAAATGAAAATTCAAAAATTAAGCAAAGGGAATATCTTGGACATCCGTGCAAAAGAGAGTGTCTGAGAGTTTTGGCAACACTGATCTCCATAAGCGTAATGTTATTTTCTTAACTTGAAACAAAGTTTAGGTAGACTTTAGTCATGACCTCGTTCGGTTATACTTATCATGACATATTCCAAATATTTCCTATTTCTTCCCATTTTCTTGATGGCATGATTGTGTAGACATTATTTATAAAGGGGAAGTGTCATTAGGCAATCAAGACTTGCGTCTCCATTGTACATATGTAATCCTACGAATCCAAAATGTGTTTCATATACAGTTTGTCAAAACTAGGAACGACTTATTGGAAATATTATTAGTAGAAATAAACAACTCAACCTGTAAACTTACGTCGCTACAGTACGCAACAAAGTTTTCTTGAAGAACAATAACAATAACGTGAAATGGAATTCCAACCAAAATTGAATCTAGTAATTATAGCGAATGTTATGCATTTTATGCAACAAGAAGCAAGCGACAACGTACTTCTAATAGTTCTAAAACAGGTAACAGGTGTAGTTTTAATCACCATAACAGCAATTTCGAGGGAAATAAAGTTCCTCGAGACACCATCATTTAGTATTTACACAAATAAAAAAGAAATAGGTCAGCTTTAAAATCTAGGTGGGATGCATGTGACAAAGGGGTTCTTCGTCGATTTATAATATTATTAATGTTTGTACTACCGAAAAAAGGTTCTAATCCTATGACGAATACAGAAATAATTTGAAACTGAATACAATGGTGAATGTGTTGCTTGTGTGAGTCCATTTCAAATAGGTAAAGAAATAATAAATAAGACTTACTCACAATTAAATTATTGAAAAAGCAAGTAACTAAAACAGAAAACACTTAGAAGGGACGAAACAAACATTAAATTTAAAAGGGGGAAGGACTTTAATGCACTACATCTCAGTCTTGGGCACAATGAGTTTTTTTATGTTTTATCTATTAGATTTTAGTGGTAAATTTGACAGATGTAGGTTAGCATGTGACAGTTCTTCTTCTGTTTCTCAATACTGTAAGTTAAGTTATCTAGTTTTATGAAATATGCTGTTAGTAATGAATGTCTATAAATTGTTTCAATTAAGATATCAAAAGTAAATTGATGTGTTTAATATTGGCATACTTTAACAATCTTTAATTAATCAAATTTAATGTAACAATACGGATAATTGAAATACATCCTACAATATAACTAACTCAGTCTAATGTCCAAATTACTGAACAAATTAAACTGATTCTTTGGCAACTGAACATGTACATTTTATAATCAAATGTATAATAAGTTTACAAAGTTTTTTATTTTTATTTGAAATTTTTGTAGGTGTGAGTTATCTGTCAGGGTGTTTTTTTTTTAAATATTTGAGATATTTAATTCAAATTCTGAATTTGAATTAAATATCTCAAATATTTAAAAAAAAACACCCTGACAGATAACTCACACCATTAAAAACATAGTTTGAAAATCCGTTATGATATACTGGCGACAGGTGATCACCGATGATCTTATGTTAAAAAGACAATAATGGATTAAGTATTCAATCAACGATTAAGTTAAACTCAACAAAATGTTTCTTGCTAATCGCTCAATACTATACTACAGTCAAATAGTAAAATGAACCAATTTTTTCAGCTGTGTTGTTAAAAATCCAATAAATTGATAAGTTTTCTAATGATAACGGATTGAGATGCTATATAATAAATTAAACTTTTGAGGAAGATTGTATCGTTAAAGTCTAACAAGACATCTAAGACACTCATTAATAAATCAGCTCAGTGTGGTGTTATTGTTAGAGGTGTGAAATTACATAAACAAGGGATCATTTCATAAAATAGGTAAAATTCCTTGTGTATGTAATTTTATACCTCAATACAATATCATTCCGCTGAGTTGAATATTCATGACACTTAGATATCTGGTTAGACTATACCACGAGGCTATAATGCTATCCAGCATTATATGTTCCTACTCAGAATATGTCTCTCCGAATACTTTCTCTGTCTGCTCTCTGCGTCGGCAACCAAGATTTCGAAAGTCGTTTCTAGATTTGACGAGTAATATCTATTTTAGATGCCGTATATTATTCTGTACTAATTGTTGATTAGTAAACTTGAGAGTAGTTATCACATAAGCTCAATAATATACTTAATTGCTGGTTAATAATTATTTAAATTCTTAAGCTTTCTATTTCATACTATATATACTATATCAAACTATTAATAATAATTCTAATTTTATTATATATAAATTCTAAAAATGTTTCTTTCTTTTTCAGCAAGTTTCGCAGCTATTCGATCGGTAGTAGTAGTGGACCTCCTTGGTCTCGAAAAACTCACCAACGCCTTCGGACTTCTGCTGTTGTTCCAAGGAATTGCAGCAATTATCGGTGCTCCTTTAGCGGGTACTTTCATGAAAGCAACTGGGAGCTTTGACGCCTGTTTCTATTTCTCAGGAGGACTCATTTTGTTCTCGGCTATTTTGTGTTATCCTCTTAATTGGATTAATGCATGGGAAAAACGACGACATCTAGACACTAAGTCTTCCCTAGTTTGATATTTATTTATAGTATTTTAGGATATTGAGAACTTTCTGTTAAAGAAAGATGAATGATTAAATTATTATCATATGTTTAGAGTAAATTTTGAAGTAGAAAAACTCGCATGCAATCTAAGAATGGGTTTGACAACGACAGGTAAATTTATTAAAATAATGAATATTTAAACGAATTTTTCACATGCATCAATAGCACAAGTATATTTAATAATTATTTATTGTTGTCTCCAAATAAATAGGTACTACTACAATAGTAATATGAATGCACCACTAGTGGGATGATATTGGTGCAGATAAAAAAGTATTAATTCTACAGATATTTGAATTTGATGGAAAGTAGAATTAGAAAGTTAATGGAATCGTAGAAGGTGGCCAAGGTGGAGAAGGAATAAAATACTGAATTCGTTAACAGAAATGTACTGTGGAGATATTGTCCTTGATTAAAAGAATAATGCAATAGAATATACAATTAAAATTTTTGTACTTAACTATTAAGGAGATGTAATTTATAAAGGTTCTATGCGAATTTTTCACCTCTTAGTGAGCGGTATCAGAGATATAATGTACATATAGATAATATAGGCTAAATTGAAGAAGGACAATCGTTCTACTTTTGTCATTGTATAAATTGTACATATTAATAATAAGACTTTTGAAAGCGCGTTTGTACGAATATTAACAGATTTGGAAATTCTCCACTGTTGGATATATGGTATTTTTTATTAAACCCCACAATGTAGTTCGTAAATATTTAAATATTTATTAGATACTTATATTCCTAATTTTTTGTTATCAGTTGGAATTTGTTTATTGACTATTTTGCTCGAGATTATATAGAAAGGTGGTTATTAGTGAAAAATAATATTTTATAAGAAATGGACCGAATGTACTTGTCATTTTCATTTATCCTTCGTCTTTTTGTATTTATGTTGTTCTGTACAACTTTTCTAAATCAGGCGTCTATCATAATGCATAATTGGTATATTTCGAAAGCTTTGGATTTTACACCAGTGTCCTTAATTTGTAGTTTGTTCGTAAGACATCAGTTGCTTTCAATTTTATCTGATATTTAATTTTAATATGCCTTAGATATTTATCAAATTGAAGTGAGTACACAAAATTGTTTAATATATGTGCTACAACAATTCCAAGTTTAAAGATGACAGATGACAATGAGAGTTTTTCGGCAATAACCGGAAGACGTAGTAACAGGCGTATGACAGTAAAACTGTCTTATATCAACTGTTTTTATCTCAGGAATACTAATGTGTTGATTACGAGTAGTGCTATCATATTAGTTGAGAAATACTAGATAAACCTGAACTAGCACCCAACCAGCTCAATTAGTTCTGGCACATACAACTATGTATTTGTATTGTTATTATATCTATTCTATACTCTTTGGCTTTTCTGAATACTTCTTCATGATCTGTGACCCTCTCTTAGTCATTTGGTATAACTGTGCACACTTCATCGTATACCGCTATTATCAACACAATGTTGTTTAACTCATTTAGATACTTGCTCATTATAATTCTTTATATTCACTTTTTTCAATAAAATCTGTTTTGGTGAAGTGACTATTAAACATTCACATACCTAATATCTTACGATACGTAATCAATTCTGTTCGATCCATTGGAATATACATTTTTTGCTAATAGCTCTTATTTATATGTTAATATTTGTTTAAATATTATATATTTATGTAATCTTTTTATTTAATATATTTAAATGTACCTCGCAAATCTGTGACCTTTATGAGTAATAGTAGAAGTTTATGAAGTATAAAGTCTCTGAATCATCTGAATATTTTAAGACTCACTTTCAATAACTTTTCAACACTTTCAACGCAACAGCGTTAATAGTTTAAAAGATATTCTATTATTATTAACATTAGAATAGATACCATCAAACCTAATCTCTACTTTGCATTGTTGTAAAATATCGAATTTTATTCAAACTCAAACTTTCCCAACGTTTAGTTACTTAATAGCTCAAAAAGCTATTAAGCTGTTCATTAAGTTTGTGTTAATCTAACAGGATCATTTGTTGAACTAAAATATTAACGTAATATAGAACTTTTCATCATACGCTATGTTTTTCGTACAGATAGATTTGACAATAACAATGACATATAATACGTCATACCTACTGGCAAAGAATTATAGACGCGTATGCACTTAAATTCTTTGGTACTGGTTTATTTTATAAAGAAATATTTATTAAATAAATATTTTTTATTCAATAAAGAAATAACATCGTTTATAAAGAAGTAAAGGCTTTAAAAAATTTATTAAAATATTATATGTATTTTCTTGGGATGATTTAGAGCCTGTATCAATCTTACATATTCTATAACAACACCACTTGTTGATCCTTTTCATACAGATATCATATAATTAGTAAACAATTGATTTGCTATTGTGGCACTTTATTTTTTCAGTAATTAGACTTTTTTGTGATTGTTTATATTAATTACCTTATATTATTAAGTTTACAAAATTTCTGTTTGAAAAAACTGGCTGACACTATTTTTGATGAAAGTTCTATTGAAAGATTTTATAATGTTCTAGTTAGTCTACAGAAACAGCAGTCTATGTTTTTATTTTATGTTGTGAAAACTGGCTGAAATATTCATCAATACATTTTTCACTACTTACTTAAAGTAATTTGCAAAAATACATATTTTTTATAGGAAATATTATTGGCGTTAACCAATACTTTGAAATATATTTTTCTATGCAAATAATTGGTTTATAATAATATTTATAAAATAGAAAAAATGTTCGAAGATAACCTAACCAACCTTTTATGGTTAATTGATATTTTAGTTCAACAGATGATCCTGATAGATTAACAACAGGAACATAACACTATTTGTAATTAATTATGATTAAATAGACAGTTTTTTCTGGAATTTTACAAACAATTAAAAAATTAATTTTTTTGAGGTAGTTATTACATTTTGAAAAAGTTTGTTATATACGATATTATTCAACAGTACAAAATAGAACTTAGGTTAGGTTTATCTTCGATATTTGTTCTTTAAATCAATTGTTTATAGAGAAAAATATATGTGCAGGATAGTAGTTAAGCAAATAAATATTCTCCATAAATAAATATACCCTTTCGTAAAATTTTACATTAAGATAGCTGACAACAGTATCCATCGACAAGCATAACATAACAGAGTTGCTAAACATGAAAAATATCATGATTGTTTTAGTTTTGTGATCATGATATCGGAACGAATAAATGTGATTATGATCTTTCTAATGTTACGTAAACATTATAATAAAATGCCACTTTGTTACATGCTATTATAGTTTGACACATAAACCTGTTTAATCGTAATATTCTGAGACTTTATGATCTAACAAATTAGAAAATTTTGTAAAACAGCTTTTAATGCTAAATTCTAAGCTTCTACTTTACGCAACTTATTAAATCGTATAGAAAAAATTCCCCTAAAACTGAAATGGGCACTTTTTTATAAAACGATTTTTAGTATAATTTCCATGTGTTCTGGAATTGGCTGAACATATTGTGATAAATCGAATATCGGTAATATTGTGAAAAATTAAAAAACATTGAGGAATATATTTTTGTAGATGTTTACCTCTTAATTCATAAACAAAAATGAAAGTTTTTGGAAGTATTATATAACGTTTTTATATATTTTGTTTTTTATTTATGTAAAAAAATTAAAACATGTGGAAATCAATTAATCTCTTTTTGTTTCCCTTATATTTGAAGTGACAGATATTTGAATATATAGAATATATTTGACGTTGTCTTTTCAGACAACTTGCAAGATTTCATCAGCAATCAGAACTTAATACAAAGAAAACAAAATAGGTGGTTAATATTAAACGCCCATACCAATTACACTTGACGGACTGTCGCGCCTTAAACTCAATTTTGTACTGGAAAGAGTTTAGGTATATAAGAAAGATATAACCAGCATTACCTAGTTTTAAATCAAAAACTACATAAGAAAGCCCTCAAATTAGTATTTACACCACCAGAGACACAACCTAATACGTTTTGCTCGATTACATAAACAGGCAAGATCTCAACAAAAATAGCCAAACACATAATAAAGAAAGAAATGACACTAGCCTTCAGAACAAACAACAATTTGTGCAAATATATTAGAAACAACAGAAGCCAAAAGAAAAAGTACTTACACAGTGGTGTATACAAACTTAAATGTGGCGACAGCCCAAAAACTTATGTCGGTCATACTGGTAGAAATTTTTTCAAACAGGTAGCAGAGCATAAAAGGGCTTTCAATAATAGAAAAACGGATTCTACATACGCACTTCACCTTCTAGACCATAATCACTCTTTTAACGACCGATTTCAAATTCTTCACATTCAAAATAAAAGACTTAAACTATTTTTATTAGAATCTATGGAAATTAACAAATTAAAAAATATATCTACAAACAATTAAAAAACCAATATTTCCAACTTCTTATGTGATCTATACACACAAATTAGAAATGTTTGGAAAGGTTTTTAAAAATCCCGCTCATTCTGATGTCAGACTTAGGTCACAGAATAATAAACATACAGAATACCCACTCTCCACGGAAAATTAAGTACGCGCATCTCCTCCGCGCAGACGTTCCGCCATGTTTTAGGAGGATTTTAAAGAAATTATGTGGTGTGCATGGAAAAATTAACCAGGTTTATTTGACTTACGGCAATCATAGACATACTATACAATTATATTAACATTGTTAAATATAATAACATAAATATAATATAATTAAACATAAATATAAACAATTACATAACCACACAAATCATATGTCTGTGTCCTCCTCAAACATGGCGCGCGTGCTGAAAAACTTCAAAGGCGGCATCTGAGAGTGTCCCTTCTGATTGTTTATTATTCTGTGCTTAGGTGGTCCATTCTAGGTTAAATTTGATTGTCAAGTTGTTAGGCAAATCTAGGGAAATTTTGGCAAAAATTCTAGGGAATTAAA